TGTGTGTGTGTGTGTGTGTGTGTGTGTTCAGATATGTGAGAAAGTGTGAATCAATGGAGACAGAATCACACACATACTCCCTGCATGTACACTTTTCAAAATACACTGCTCTTTTCTTGCAGTCTGTTTCTGCCATCTTGTGGTTAAACCTGGTATTGCATGGCCTATTCTACAGTGGCAAATTCTTGCAGGATGCAACTTGAATCAGACTAAGAGCAATATAACTGACCCTGGCTTAAAGACAAAGGTTAAAAAGTGCAATAATGTTTTTAGTTCAACTCTAAAATCAATGTCAGACGCAGGTAAAAATATCCAGTGTTAATCATATTCATATTTTTTAAAGGACGATTGGATTTTCTGGTAATCTGCTGTTTTTGCCCCCCTACTCTTTCAGAGATGTACTGTCAGCCTCTACGTGAGGTGGAGCAGGGCTACGTGGTGGCCGTCCAGAAGACTGAATATGAGGTCGGCTTTGACATCCACTACCTCTGCAAGAAAAACTTCCTCCTGGACGGACCCCAGAAGGTCACCTGCCTGTCGAATGGCAGCTGGAGTGCATCGCCCCCTTACTGCAGAGGTGAGAGAGATCCTCTCAGAAACAGTGTGGGGGAGGGTGGTGGGGTTTTGTTTAATCACATAGAAACCAGCATTTTAATTCCCTTTGATAAATTCAATGTGATGGACATAAAGACACGTGTGAATAGGCCTAGAAACATATAAATATGCATGTGTGAAGATAACTTTAGGATTTATAATCTGGTACCTTGTTGATCCTTCGCTCAGCTCGCTGTCTCATCCCTGCTGAGAAGAGCCGTGTGATGATCGGTGGGGTGAAGCGTTGGCCGTTTGACGTGACAGACGCCATGGTTCCTCACGGAGAAAAGGTGGCGTTCTTCTGCAAACATCCTTCCCAGCAGTGCAGCTTTACTGCGATCCAAACGTGCTTTGACGGAAAGCTGGAGCCACCAGCATGCTACCTTGGTAAACCTAGGCCACACACACACACACACACACAC